TAGCCTATTTCAGTGGTTCTCAAACATTTTCATAGCATGGACTAAAATATGTTTGAGAGATTTTCTCATGCACCATCTCCCCTTCCATTCACATTACATTGCTGGGGCAACCATAGAAATTGTTTACATAGACAGGTAACATAACCAACGATATAAAATATTTTGATAGTCTTTTAATCAAATTTAGCAGCCAGAAGCAAGGACAGTTATCAACATGCCCGACCACACTCCCAAACAGATAATTAGCATGGACCTCAGTTTGAGAGCCACTGGGTTAGAGTTCATCCTAAAAAGGATTCATTCCCTCCTCGGCCCCTTTTTTAAAAATCAGTCTATAAACAGGTCTTCATTTGTAGTACACTGTAAAACTTCTGCAGTTTATTAGTGTATCATTGGACCTTCTCCAATTTCTATCATCAAACAACATGTAAAATTACACAAGAAAAAAAAACATGCAGATGTTTACAACAGATTGAATGTTTACCAACAGATAAAAGGAGCAGACTCCTCAGAAACTAAGAAAAAAATCTCCCAAAATCTGCAGCAGAATTCTTGACCATGTCACAGGCCAACGGCAAGACGTTGGAGATGAGCATGCAGAGAGGAGAATGGAGAAGTTGGGAAAAGAATGAATAAGAAAAGAAACATGTAGATGCTTTAATCTAATGGTATTTATTCTACCACAGAAGTACCAGAACTTGAGACTTAAATCAGTTCGCCCACTCTCTGGACAGGAAGTGCTACAGAAGTAGAGCTTGCAATCATTATGAGCAGAGGAGGGAAGCAGAATGCATTATGTCCTCTCTCCCATGTTCCGTTTCCTAGAACAATAACGAGCTCTGGAGGAATCCCCATCCAGAACTCATCTGTCAGAAGGAAAGTCCTCCTGACGCAGGAGATCTGAAGGTGTGGAAAGAGAAATCCCAGGGAACTTTACAAGCACAGGAAAAAAGTAACTAGACAAGACTTCACACCCCCTCACCATCACAGAAGAGACTCATTTCCCATAACCTAATTGAGAATTTAGAATGCATTCCTGGCCTATGCAAGTTTCTTCTCTTCTAGAAAGAGGAGAAATTCAAATGCCACCCATATCTGCTTTTTGTATCTTCGCAGAGTAGAAATGACGAAAATGATGCAATGCTCTAAATATTTATACTATGTTACCTCTGACATCTGGTAGCACTGTTCCACATTGCACAATCTCAATCCTCTCTTCAGACACATGTGCCTGTATCTTGTAATTCTGATCCTTTGTTTTTTCTTGCATATGCAATTCCAACCATCATATTTATGGAAAGATTTGGGCGGAAGCAAAGGGGGAGTTAAACATAAGAATTGCCAGACTGGATCAGAACCCAGGTCCATCCAGTCCAGTTTTCTGTCTCTCACAATGGGCACAACTAGATGCTTCAGAGGAGAACCTGGTAATAAGCAGATGTGCAACAATCTGCCCTCATATTAGGTCTCCTCCTAGTGCATTCTAGTTAAAGACTGGCTTTTTGGCAGGTGGTTGTGAGACAGGAAAGAAGGATTAATCAATGCAATTTACTAAACATTTTCAGTTTTGCTAAATCATCTTCATCACTTGTATTCAGCCCCTCACAGAGAGCTGCTACTTCCTCCAAAAGGTTTTATGGATATACATAGACTGTCACCCACATCCTGCCTGTTGCTCTGCAAGAGAGAAGTTAAGATAGATTTATATCACGAAGGCTGAAAATGAGGGCACACCTTAGTAAGTCTAAATTGATGCCAGATCTTGGGCCTTTCTCCTTCAAATAATAATAAAACCTAGCTCTTATACAGTGCTTTTCATTAGTAGATCTCAAAGTGCCGTACAAAATGAGATCAGCATCATTAACCCCCTTTTCCAGCTGGGGAAACTGAGGCACAGAGCACTGACATGACTTGCCCAAGGTCATCCAAAATGTCAGTGGCAGAGCTGGGAACAGAACCCAGGTTTTACCGAGTCCAGTCCAGTGTCCTATACACTAGGCCATACTGCCTAAGGGTACAATTTCACTGTGATCAATATCTGATTCACACATCTCTTAATTAATGTTAACTACCACTGCAAGCTTTTAATCATGCAGAATAGAGAAAATGACATTCTGAATAGATGGCTGGTGCAGAGAAAGTTGATCATTATTTTTTCCTATAAACTAATCAATATGAGAGAGAGAGAGAGAGAGAGAATGTTCACTACTTATTTTTCACATATTTACTAGGAATAATGAAGATATATTGCCTATGCAAACCCAGTACCACTGTGATGTATCTGTGACAGGGATGTAAATATCGTTCTAAAAGTTAACCATTTAAACAATTAAAATTATATCGTTTAACTGGTTAAATGATTAAAGGGTGAGGGGCTGGGGCTGATCCGGTGGGGTGGACCAGCCTGGGGCTGCTCCGGCTGGCGTGGCTGGGGGTTAATGGTTGGGGGGGTTAACGGTAAAACTAATGCTTACCGGTTAACCGTTTAATATTTTACATCCCTAATTTGTGACTTTTTTTTTCTTTTTATGAGCCAAACTGACTGGTGAAATGATTCTGCACAGACTCCAGCCACCTTTAAAAAAATATGGTAAGAAAATATCTGTAGAATACATTTGCAATCACTAAACAGCTCCATAGCAAACAGCAAGTTATTGTTTTCATTTTAAAACGGTTGTACCTAATAACTTGCTTCCTCTTTCTTTTCTACACATGCAGTTTAGGATTAAAATAAACTTTTGATGCAACTCTGATTACTGTTCTTCTTGGCTAGGGGAGGAGTGGGACTCAAACTTGTAAGTAGCCATATTAAAGGTTTACGACCAGCCTCTCAAATATTTAATATCAAGGCAAATATACAAGTACATAAAAGTCAGAGTGACAGCTTAAGTTCATTGATACAAAGGAAAAATATATTCCACTGGGATGAGTTTTAATGGTTTTCAACCACAAATTTAACAACAAAAATCTGCTACAAACATGTAAGTGGCTCAAGTGCAGATGTAATCATGAACAGACTTGGAATATCAACATTTCTTTAACTGGACACCTCACATTCACTGCTACTGCAAATCAGAGATGCGTTACTTAAACATTGTTTAGCATGAAGATATTAACATCATTACGAAACACTATGGCTCTGAATCTGCAAGCACTTGCATGTATGCATTCCTTTACTCAGCAAGCAGTCCCACTGAGTTCAACATGTCCAACCTATCAGCTAACTTCTGTGTTGCTTCGTGTGAACAAGCAGGCGTCCCAATGTAGAAATGTCTATTACACATTTGACTGGCTTGGAGTCAGCAAGAAGGACGCCCATGCAGTGTTTGATTGTATCCTTACTCTCACATCTTGACCAGAGGCCAGTACAATTATTCATACTGGGGCATCTTTTACCTTTTAGAACAACCTGACCCAGTATTCCTCTTTGATCCAGTCTCTCCTGAGGCTACACGCTTAGCATATTGTCTAAATCAGCCATGACAGTGAGGTATTGCCTAATTTTTACATTTTTTGACGGAGGGATTGAGAAAGGGGTTAGCTGTTACATCTCATGGTTTGTTTCTGGCATAATCCCCAATGAAGAAACACCAGGGGTGAATCTGACTCAGTATTTGGACAGACATCTAAGCTTTAGCCTCTTACTACCATGCCCACATATGAGTTGGTGATAGGTACAAAGCCACCTCACATGCAGGGTGTGAGTATGTATTCCTCTATACCTAAAAATTCCTCATCCAGACAGATATGCAAATACTTTCCAGGCTTTTTTTCTTGCCCAGAATTCAGCATCTAGATCCACAAAGCTATTTAATCTCTTAACTTCCTCTGTGGATCTGGTGCTGGGCTGGTGTGGAATTTTTCATGCAGCTAGTAGAAAATTATGAGTTTTGTTTTTCAAACTACATAGGATCAGGCCTTATGAATATTCCCTTTCATATTTCTTTACACTGCAAAAGCAGGTGAGTGTCCAGTGTTCACAGGATGGGAGAGTAGCTGGTGTTGCCAAAATACCTAGCGTATGTGCTATCCTTGGATGAGCTAGCCAATTCATATATTGGATTCCCACTATTAAGTGGGAAAGTGCCAAGTTAAAATAGGAATATAATTAATGCATGCTTTAAAAAAAAATAGGTATCATTCACAGCCAAAAGCTACTGAACACGTTCATATCACCAGAAAAAAATCACTACAGGTTGCTTTGCCAGCATACCTGATGTAGCTTTTACATATGAAAATGTCAATGGTGCCATCAAAGGGTGCATACAAGCAACCCCCTTTCTTAGTTCTTTCTCCCCCCCATCCTTATTTCATCCACTTATTTTTATTGCACCCCGTACTCCTCACACCCATTTACTACACTGTAAGCACGGCGAGGCCTTGCCTACAATACACCAGGATTTCTCAGCCCTTCTCCCACCTGTACCGGGGCACCTGGGCAGCGCGGCCTGGGCCCTGTGCAAACACGCATGGCAGAGCTGGTATCTGCGGCTCTCGGGGCCCAACCTTAGAGCAGTGCAAGGAGCTGAGATTTCACACCACACTCAGCCCCAGCCCAGCCTCCCTAAGGACCCGCCCGCTCCTCTCAGCCCCGGCAGCATGCAAGGCCCAGGTCTCACCCGCCCTAGGCGTGCTGCAGCGCAAGGTGCAGCGGCGCGACGCTCTCGGGCCCAGGCTCCCAGCAGCTGCCTTACAAGCTCGGCTGCTCTCAGGGGCCGCGGGAAGCCGCCGGCAGCCGCGTTAATGGCTGCAGAGCCCGGCCGCCCCCTGGGGAGAGCCCGGTAGAGCGCGGATACCTCCCCCGGGGTGCCCGGCTAGAGCCAGGCGGGCGGCTGCAGACAAAGGGACGAGGCCGCAGGCTGCCAGGCCCCTCGTGCGGCTGCAGCCCGGGCTCCCCGCCCCACGTGCTGCTCCGGGCCGGCTCTTGTGGGGACCACCTGCGCCACGGCCAGCCCCAGAGCAGAGGAGCGCCCGGGCGGGCTGCCCCCGCGCTCACTCACCAGCGGTAGCAGCCCTCGCTGGCTTCCAGGGTGAAGTTGATCCTGGTGCTCCGGGTGAAGGGCAGCAGCACTTTGGGGATGTTCAGCTTGGAGGCCACGGAGAAAGGCGGCGGCAACAGGAGCAGCAGCAGCAGCGCCCAGGCCATTCTCCCTGCCCGCGCCCGGGGCACTGGGGACGGCTGCAGGTAGGGAGTGGGCTCGGTCTCTCCCTGCGTCCCGGGAGCGCTGGGGTCAAGCGGGATACGGGACCCCCAACCGGGGAAAGGTCTCCGGCTACAAAGTGGCCTAGCCCTGGGCAAAACGCTTGTTGGCAGGCGGCGTGTGGGCCAGCTGCACCGGGATCAAGAGGCACCGGAGTGGCCGCGGCACCTGCAGGAGGCTCCGAACCGCTCGCCAGAATCACAATCACCCGCCGTGTGCTGCTATTCGAGGGACGTCAGCGGCCGGGGAAGGGGAAACCGGGCCTGAGACTGTGGGGAGGGGCCGTGTGCCTCAGGGGAGGGCGCTCAGCCGCAGGCGGGGAGAGCAGCAGCAAGTGCTGCTGCAAAGAGACTGTCACATGGCAGCCCTTGACGACCAGCGAGTCCCTGTGACCCCCGGTAGCAGCAGGCAGTTTTTGTTTCACTTTCAGGTGCTCCTGGAGCATAGGCGCTTGGGCCTCTCCAACCTTGAAGGCTGGATGTGGCGTCCCAGTGAGGGATGGAAGGAAATCTAGGGGTGGCCTAAATTAGGAGTAGGACAGGTGTCCCAGGGTTTTTGCATAATAATTGCGGTGTGTGGGCGCCGTGCCACTTTAGTGGGGGAAGCTCAGGCACAGAGCATCTGGTTTTTTTACAAAGGCAATGAGCACCTGCAGCTCTGGTTGACTTCACTTGGCGTTCTAAGTGCCCAGAAGTCCACAAAATCAGTCCCAAAGTGACTTGCTCAGGGTCTCCCACAAGTGTGTAGAAACGGATGGGAGCAGAGCCCAGGTTTCCTGATGTAGTTTGGGCCATGCTGCCTCCCCTCCTAATAATAATTTCACCTGTAGATTTCAAAGCATTTTACAAACTTTGATTAAGCCTCCAAAACCACCCTTGTGTTCTCTGTGACAGAATAATCCCATAAAGCTATTTACTGTGAACACAATGGACACAGTCCTCACATCCCATTTTGTCACACCACGTGCAGATTTTTTTTTCACATTTGTCCATATCTGTCACAATATTAGTCTACACATCTATGTCGATTCACATTTCTATTTGGTAGAATTAGTCCTTTGGCACTCATTATGGCCTTTAGGAAACTCCTTGCATTGAGTCAGTGGGAAAAGAGGAATTATCACTACCCAAATATGGGTCATTAGAGATATCTATTAATTTAGAGAAACAATTTTTCTGAAAAAGACATTCCAGAAGGGAAGAATCATGAGAGGTAGGAACGTGATATTATCCCAACTTTACAGGTGGGGAAATTGAAGCAGAGAGGAATTTAAATCATTTACTAATGTCCTAGTGAGTCAGCAGCAGAACATTAAGGAATCCAGAAGTCCTGATTCCCTACCTTGTTCTGACTGCCCAAACATTAAATAATATAGGATTATTTTTCCATGTTTCTATAATTTAACAAACAATTATGTTTGTTTGCAGTGACAGTTAAGTTTGCGTCAAGACACACCACATCCACCGAAAACCTTAAAAGCATGTAAATAAAGCAGTGATTCTCAAACTTTTTTACTGGTGACCCCTTTCACATAGCAAGCCTCTGATTGTGACCCCCCATCAATGAACATGCTTTTTTATATATTTAACACCATTATAAATGCTGGAGGCAAAGCGGGGTTTGGGGTGGAGGCTGACAGTTCGCGACCTCCCCCATGTAAGAACCTTGCAACCCCCTGAGGAGTCCCGACCCCCCGTTTGAGAACCCTTGAAATAAAGGAAAAGATGTGCATTCCTCTCAAACTTCATGTTGCATACACCACTAACGCTACTACCGGTATGCCAGTGCTCCATGAGGCTTTTGCTTCTATTGCCAACAGATACTCAAAAGCAAATATGTACCGCAGCTTCATCCAACGTTTTACTCTAGTGCAAAACCTTAATGGTAACCTCGGCAGTGTTAAGGCAAAATAACTTGCCAGTTGTGTGTGTCTCTCTGAATCAGCACATGAGGAACAACAGTGTAGCAGGTAATGACTGCCCATTCTGGAAGATGATGTTTGCAAGATCTGCTTCCCATA